TCCATTTTGACAACTTGACACTTATCTCTTACATCACTTGACAAGTAGACATGCTGTTCTGGGTCAACAGCCATCATATTCGTCTGCTGGCTTGTCATATTCCAGGTGTTCTCTATCTTGTTGCAGATCATGTATCCCGATAAGAGTCTCTCCATGGAGTGGTTCCGAGACCTTCAGGTTTTCAAATGGCTATGCTCTCAGTTGGATACTTCGTGACTAAACACTTGCTACTCATCTAAATATTTTGTCTCCATGTTTCTCATCTTTCAGCTTTGGCAATAGATGCTTTCTATTAGGATTGGATGGGCCTTCATATTTATGCTTGTCCCTCATCTGTTTTCTTCCCAAGGTCCTATCCATTGCCCAACCAATCCGTATTGGGTCCTTCTGGTGGCTCCGTTTTGGCCAGCTTAACCTTAGTTCTCACTTCTTCTTGTTCAGATGTCAGAACCATTACCTCTTTCTCTCTCTCTCCTTTCCTCCTTTGTCAACCTAATCCTTTGGTGGTGCTTCATCCATTCATCCCTACACTCCAGTTTCAGTCGTGACTTTTGTCTGGTCCCTTGGGTGAGGTTCTGAATTTTCCATACAGATTGCATCTTTTCTTTTATACTCTGTCTGCCCCTCTTCCAGCGTAAGTGGCATAATATTTTTTACTGTTGATCTCTCCGTCAGGATTTCCTCACCTTCCATCCCTCACCCTTCTGAATTTTTTACCTGTCTTTTTTGACAATGGTCTTTTTGTTTTGACTATCGCTGGTTATAGAGTTGCATTATCCTGTACCTTTTGTTTTTCCTGTTTCCACTATTTCCTTTCCTCTCCTGTTTCAATTCTTTCATCTCCATCATCTGGCTCGGCCCACACCCTTACCGGAATGGGATCTTAATGCTGTCCTCCGTGCCCTTTCCTTCTCTCCTAAGGAACCACTGACTTCCTGTTTCATATATCACTTATCCTTAAAAACCTTTTTACTCCTCCTGTTGGCTTGTAGGCGGTGAAGGTTGGATGTATTCACCCTCGATGTCTCTTGCATCCTTTGCTACAAAATTTATTTTCTTCTTTATCCTGATCATATCTTCCTTCGATTTCTCATCTCTATTCCCATACTGATCCCGACCATTTTCTGTGTCAGGTCAGGTTGCTGAGGTGTTATGGGTCTCGCATGGCTCCCTTTTATGGTTCTTGTTCCCGATGATTTATTCACTGGAATCCTTCAGTTTCCTGTGACCATTCCCTTATTACGCTGACAGGCTGGGTTAGGCATTTTATACACATGGCTTATTCCTCTTTATCTCCTGGCTCCTGTTGCCATTTCCATGTCTCCTCACATCAGATTTGCCACCTCTTTGGCTGCTCATCTTCATTGTCCTTAGAAGGAGATTGTCCAGGCTGGCATGTGGACTACTCCTTATACATTTGTGTCACATTATCTCCATCATCTGTGAGTGGATATCTTTTCTTTATATTTTTCTTCTTAACTATTTGACCGCAATCTACTTACATCGTAAGTAGGTATGCGACTTGTGAAAGTTCTTTATAAAAATGAAACTAGTTGATGAAATAGTTTTGAATTTGACTTGAATGTTCAAAAATTATGTAGTTTAGGAAAATATAATATTTAATTTTGATTTTTTCTACTATTTGTAATAAAACATTCATTATTTAATGTAGTTATTTGCACTCAGACTCTCAATAGTTCACATGCAACGTGATTTTCCTTTTGAGTGTAAAAATACTATTTCTTATTTCATAGTTTTCACATTTGATTTGCACAATCTCTAGAACCTAAACGAATATCAAAAGTTTTTAAGGTAAATGTTTATATTTTGTTTTCCATTTTCTCTATTATATCATTAAATCCAGATATCATCATCAACGTACAGTGCAATGAAATGTTTGAAATTAAGAAATGGAAGTATGTACATGTCTTTTAAATTTTTGAAGAATAGTTTTCAGATTTCTTTTTGTCATATGCATAATTTCACATCTTTATATTTTCACTTGTAGTTTTTTAATTTCCCTTTCCAATTCTTTCTTTTATTCATTATCCCATCACCATCAACATTTCTATGTGGTGCTCTGTTGTTATTATAGGGTGACTCTTCTGTACAAAGTCCAAACACTTACGCTTGCACACGCGCGAATGATGCCATCTTGCTTAGACATTTTAGTAAGCCAAACTACAACAACTTAAACATATAAAAATCATAAACATTTCAAATATGCATTTTTAAACACAAATAATACATAATTTATTAAGATATAAATGTAAAACCTAAATGCAATTTTACTGTTTAGCAAACTAATACATATAAAGCAAGAAACACTTGTCAAACATTACATACCCCTCAAGAGAACAATGAAATAAGCTTATTTTCTATTTCATACTACAGATCCATACAGAGGTAGAGGTTTCTTCAGGCTATAACTGAATAGCGTGAAATCTGCTCTTTCTATTGGTTATAAGCATGCCATTCAACTTCAAACTTCAAAGTGTCGCTTGACAACACAGCTTTGACTTTGCAAGTGGGTGTGACTGACCTTAAACTTAGAAGTATTAGTATTAGAAATTCTTGAAAATTTTACCCCAGCTAATGAAACACAGCTGGAACTGTACTTTAACCATCTATACCAACAGTCTGCATTAGGTACTCATAGTTTCTTGTTTAAAACTTTTTAAACTTGAGAATTTTAACCACATGACAGCAAAAGCTGCAGTTTTAATTGCTGTTTCAGATTTTTCTTCTTAAAATAAAGGAATAAAACTTAGATAATATAAAACTTTAAATTATAATGTACTTGATAATAGTAATTTCATTAAAATACATTTATAGTAAAGTGGTTTAATTCAATTTTGAATTTAAATAAGTAAAATCTCATCATGTGTGCAGATAGGGGTTTAAGGGTCTTCGTGGTTAAAGGAGTCTCTTTGCTTTTCTGTACTGGATCCCACTCTGTGGTGATGGTGCCTGTCCAGGTATGTTTATTCTTAAATCTGCACTGTACGGCCAATAAGGTCAGTGACATCCACCATTGAGATGGGGTGTTCTGAAGGACTGCTAGTAGGTTCTTTGTTGCGGTGTCATGCTTCATACACACATGGACTAACATGAGAATACCAGAAGAGGATTGTTGCTTGTTCCTTTGATAGTATCAATCAGGTACAATCTGCTTTTCAAAATAGGGTTTTGTGGTCACCCATTGCACTTTCTCCAGTGCTGTGTTCCTCCGAACTATCGTGTACGTCCCCCACCATCTTCTCTTTTTTTAGTGGAGTACAGGAACTACTGGTTTTGGACTAGAGTTGACCTCCCACTTACAGGCTGAAGTGCTCCAGCTACTCTTCACCACAGGCACTTTTTTCTTTTTAGATGTGCCTTATTACTGCTCATTTTCGGACACATTCATTCATCAAGGGTTCATATGTGGTGTGGTCTCTCATGAGTGTGTTTCCTGGTTGGCACACTCCAAGTGTTCTCTTCAAACACTATTAAGGGGACTCCTTTAGGTTACTTTGACACCAGTCCCTTCATTTAGTCAATGTGGAATTCTAATTATTTTGTGAGAAGAGGTAGATTATTGTATCGAGAAGTTGATATTTTCCCACACTGAAAATATATTTCCGAGAGATACTTACCTCCACCCACCTGTCCTCCCCACTTCAGGTGTGTTTTTCATGCCTAATCATGAAGTGAAGATTGGGTTCAACTGCATCAAGGAACTCAGCTGTGTTAGGAGTGTGATAACCCTCTATGCTTATTTGAATGCTACAATGCAGCTATACCATGTGGAAAACACATGGAGGTAGGTGGGAGCATAAAGGCAAGTGGTGTGCGAAAATTTGCACATATAGAGGGCAGTACAAATTGATGAAACTTGTTTTGTGGGAGGAGGCAAGTATCTATCGGAAATATAATTTCAGATTAGGAAAATACAAACTTTAGGTCACAGTACAATGGTGTAGTGTGAGTGAAGGATTCATGTAAAAAAAGTCTTATACACAAACTTTGATAATTATAGTAAATAATAATTTGTTTAAATTGTTTTCTGAGTAAATGGAAAATTATATTACAGTTATATGGAAGAAATATTTTTAATGTCAAACTCCATGTTTATTTTTTGGTCAACTTGGCTAGTGTCAATTTTTGTTACACAAATGTTTTGCATCTTCATGTTTAGTTAGTGGAGATAATTTCAGGTGCTATTACAGTAATATGGAACTTATGCTTACATGAGATTAGTGCAGGAAGTTTCAGTTGCTACCATAGAAATCAATTGCACCTTCACTTTACTTTAGTACATATAATATTGTGTACTACTACAGAATGTATCCCTTTGGTAGGGCAGTGATAAGTCTATGAATGTACAATACTAAAATCCAGGTTAGATTCCATGTGGTGGACATTTTAGCTTTTTTCTAAAACAAAGAAACAAAAAAACTACAGAGTGTATTACATGTGTATTATTTTTAAAAGTATTTAGTCATTTGATCCACTAGGATTGCAATGTGATGGTGGGTTGGATTCAAAATTTGTATGTAACTTAGAAAAATATATAACAGAAACATCTACTACTAGTATATGTTGAACTGTGTGACAGCTGATTTTTATGCCTCCAAAATTGAGTTACCATGTCAAATTTGTTAAGTGTTATGTATGTATGAAAGAATAAGTTATAGCAAAGCTTTTTATCAAAATATTTGTATTTTATTTATTGTCCTTGTTTGAATGATTTTTATTTCTAATCTACTGGTGGTTAACTGGAATATTTCAGAGTGGTTCATTGATCCATAGTTATAAAGGAACTGGAGGAATATTTGAAGTTTGTTGGAATTCAAGAGGGGATAAAGTGGGTGCAAGTGCTTCTGATGGCTCTGTAAGTTCAGCATGTCTTAAATCTGTTGTTCATTTTTAAAATTTATATTCTCTTTGGCATCATTTCTATAATATATCTTATAAACTGATTAGAACTTGGGTTATGAAGACTAATTTAGAGAACACTTGTTTTAAGTAATTATTTATATGTGAAACAGCTAAATTGATGTTTATAAAAATTGTTGGGATTTATTAATTTAAAATAAATTTCACATAAGTGTTTGTAGTATTTCCTAAAGTAAGAATTGCAGTGAAGAAATAAAGACAAACTAGCTTTCAGAAAAGTTTCTTAATCTTTTTAATGAAAAGTACTTTTTTGTTTCATTGAAATCAGAAATCAAAACATTCTACTTTTAAGTTGGTTGTTATAAGATTCACTTCTAAAGAAAAGTGTTACATTGATGTCTGTTTCTGTACATGTTACTTGGTTCTATTGTGACAGTCTTGTTTATGGTAAATTAATATTTTTTGTAAAAAGAAAACGTGATTTTTTTTTCAGGTATTTGTGTTGGATCTTAGGAAGTCTTAAGAAAATTCCAATGTTCAGCATCATCATTCAATATGTTAGTCATCTGTGAAACACTGTTCTGCCATCTATCTACCAGTTGTCAACTTTCAGCCATGTTTGTTATATTAACTGGGAGTTGAACATTTATGACACAAAACCTTCTGTGGTGTTTTGTTGTGATAAATCTTTCATCCAACTCTAAGTGGATGGGATCTGAAACCTTCATACTCTGTGTATCCTAATGTATTCATGATAGAATTACTTAAAAGGAAAGGCTGGGATCAGTTTAAATGTAGAATAAATTATTATTGACCGGCATTTCTATTTTCAGGTAAAAATTGTCAAACAAAATAAACTGAAATCTTGTTTTTAATTTTGTAGGCTGAAACAAACATATTTTCATGGCTGAACATTTTTTATATCATTTAAATGACTATGCTTTTCTTCATTATACGATAAGCTGAAAACAAAGCATTATTATACTTCTTGATTCAAATTTTTTTAGTCTTTATGAAGGATATTTTTTGTGGGGTAACAAGTCTTTCTTAGTTCATATGGCAAAGGACAGAATCAGATTATCTAGGAATTTGCAAGTTGCTTATCTACTCTCATTGTGAAAAAATAGACTGTTCATTCACTTTGTAGACTGCATAAAATGCTTTTCTGTAATAAAAGTTTTTACAAAATATAAGTGCTGTTTATGTTAGTAAGATGTTAAAATTATGTATAAAATGTTTTTCACAAACTATTGATATGTTAAAGCTCAGTATAATAACATATTTTTCTTATAAGTAAATAAGATATTAAAAGTGTTCTCATGAGTTTCTAATTTTAGTCATTAAATGATTTAATGTTCACAGATAATTAGTAGGAATTCTAGAGAAAAAATCTAATAAACAGAACTTAACATTATTTTTACACCACCACCATGTAACAGGAAAACTTAAGTATACTTCTTTTGAAACAAATGGTTCTTTGTTAATAACTGAGATTATGTATAATTATCAACTATTGTGTTATCATGTGATTCTGAGAAATACAACCAATCTAAACAGGAATAATAAATTAAAAGAAAATTATACATTAGTTTCAGTATGAATTACATACTATTACAGTCACTTATTTAAAAGTTTTATATTACATTGTTGAATAAGTGATAAACCATGACATAAATAAAAAGTGGGATTTAATTTTTCTGTACAATCTTGACTGATGGCTGAAATTACAGATTATATCAAAGCAACCTATACAGCTTTTTAAAATTTTAAATTAACATAATGCTTTTAATTATAACAAAATGCATTTGATCCAGTTGTTCTCTTAATATGTATAAAGTATTTCCAAGATCTTTGCTAATAATCTTAAGACATCAATCTGTTTATGTACGTGCACCTAAAATACTTTAAAGCTTATGTTTAGGGCATAAGTTAAGAGTATTTTCAAAATATGTTAATAACATGCAGACATATGATAAAATAGAGCTGTTACTCCAGTTCTGTCTAAGCTGAAACCTTTATATATATTTTAGAATTTTTTTTGTGTGTGTGTTTCTAAACAAAAGCAACTGAGCAAAATAAAGTATGAAAAACCTGATATTTCAATTTTCAAAAATGACATAAAATACTTTTAGCACTAAGTGACAAAATTTGGTATATTTTTCTCACAGGCTATGCCATCATATGTTATAATTGTGGTGGATCTTTTCACCACAAAATAATATATAACACATTAAGTGACTGAATATTTTAAAAATATGTATTTCACTTTTAATTACATCCTAAGTACAAAATATAATTGTGGTTGAATATGATATAGAAAAATTTATTTATCTTGTGGACATCTTTATAGAGTCTTGCACTGATTTTCATGTGGAAAACTTTCTTGCAAAGAAATCTGTGATTTTATAGTTGTTGAAGGAAAATTTAATTTGGAATGCCACTATATTGAATCTGTTCAGTGCAGAAAGATTTGAGAAAAGAAACAAACATACTTTGATATTTTATTTTACCTATGAATTTGTTGTAGCTTCATTTCTTATGCATACTTGTATTTACAACTTTGGCAATTGGTTATAGCACTTACACAGAAAAAATCAAGAGTTTTGTGAAGATTAAATTGAATGCTCAGTTAATTTCCATCATAAGTTATGTTACTTATGGTTATTTATTGTGTTCTTACTTTCCCAAGTTTCCTACTAATGACTTATTCATGTTATGTGAATTTCTTATGAAAAAGTGAATATAATGCAGCTGTAGTAATTACTACCTAGGTACATATTATGAGTCTTCCTTCTAATGACACTTGTATATCTGGACTCTTTCCAGTGGGATGTAAGGATTCCTTCAAACAGGATCTACATACATGGATCATCCCAATCACACCTCCATGTTACCTGAAATTTGTAGCAATACCTTTATCTGGATTCCTTAAAAAATTTAATATTTAAGGGCCTTTAAAAGGTGCTCAATATTGGCTGATGTTCCTTTGAGTCCTTAATTTGTAGCACGAAGAAAGAGTGGTGATCTTGTTTTCAAGTGATACCTTCTTTTCAGGATTCCTTATGGTAGCACTAGTGTTTTTATGAATGTCTCTTAGTAATGCATTTTTATTATAGTGATTCATTCAGGTGACATTTATTTGAATGTATTCTAGTTACACTCGTGTATCAAGACTCTTTCTAGTAACTAGTAATACATATTATCTGAACCATTATCTGAAATGCCTACATGTTACTTGAAGAAAATATGAAGTAGATATAATTGACTAAGATGCAAGGGTTACCCTCCTGGACTGCTAAAGTACAAGTCTTGCTTCCCTCAAGCAAAAGACTAGTCAGACTCAATTTCATTATGACAACTGCATTTTGAAACTGTAACAAAGACTGCACAACAGTCTATAAATGCCTTCTAGTGACACATCATTCAGATTCCTTTTAATTACTCTTATATAAGTTGATTCTTTCAGGTGGTGCCAGCAAAATATTCAGATGTTCTATTTACATCATTCATAATGAGAATTGCTTCTATTGACGTCTACAGAACTGGATTATTTTCAATAAAACTGAATATAACTTATTGGCTGGGGTGTGAAATAGATGGTCCAAGGTTTGAGCATTGTCATGCTGTTGAAAATACTCCGCACTGGTTTAAGAGTTGATGCATAGTTAGTAATTATAAAGTAAAGGTGACTATACCTCTGCATAATCAGTAGTTGTATATGAGGGATGGCTATACTTGAACAAGGTGCTGTTTAGTTTATAAATACCAATGTTACCTAGATCCCTAACATTAATTCCTTCAAGTGATACACATATTATCCAAGTTTCTTTAAAGAAGACCTACATACTATCTGGGTTTCTGATTGTAATGTTTCTAGTATCTATATTTTTTGGATCTAATAATTACTAAGTGGATTTTTTATAATCTTAATGTTATCTGGATTAATTTTACTAATAACCTAATATATCAGTTCCTACTTGTGATATATCAAAATCCCTTGTACTGACACCTACATACCTTAATTTTCGTTATGTGACCATATTTGATTTTTAATAAGTGGATCCCTCTACAACTCTTGTATGTATGTGTATATGGATTATTTATATAGTCACGTTAATATTATTTTAATTTCAACCAGTAAGGCATTCATGTTATCTGGATTCCATCTAGAGATACCTACTTGTCTTATATCTTGATTCTTATTAATGACACGCTACATAGCTCAATTCTAGTGAACCGTGGTTATGTTTATTACCTGATTTCTTTAGTGATGCATTATATCAATTCCATTTATTGGCATTGACATATCTATTATATTTCTTATAACCTTACCTACACGTTTTTCCAAATATATCGTCATATTTTTTGATCCAACTAATAGCACATTATATCGTCTGGATTTGTTTCTAGTACTGCCTCCATGGGCACAGAACAATAGCTCATTGTGTGTAAATTCTCCTTAATTTGGATTCTTTCAGGTGAAACATTTTGTGGATGCATTATATTTACACATCTAGATCAGTGATTTACAACTGCTGTCCACAGTATTCCAAGTGAGGCCTAACTAGTGACTTCTGTGCAGAGGGAATTACTTTTTTTTTTACTAGTAATCAGTATATCTATATATGTATATATTTTTGCTAGTAATCAGTATATCTACAAGTATATATTTTTACTAGTAATCAGTATATCTACAAGTATACTCTTTTGATTAGTAATCAGTATATCTACAAATATATTTTTTTGACTAGTAATCAGTACATCTATAAAACTAGCAACAGAATATTGTTTTGATAGCTTGACTGACTTATCCACCATTATGTAAAGATCTGTTGCTTTAGAAGGTTCCCATCTACATTAAATGTGAGATCCAAACTATGATAACCCAAATACGTTACCTAGAACTTGCTATCATTTAAAGACAATTTGCCAAATACTTGTCCAGCTTACCACTTGATCCAAAACCTTTTGTAATACCTCAGCTAGAAATACCCAAAAGTTTCATGTCATTAGCAGATTTTAATAATTATGCCCCTATCATTATTTAAATAAAAAAAGAACAAAAGCCAAAGCATTGACTTTTAAAGCACTGTGCTAGTAACAAGGAATCAGTTTGACTAGACTCCATTAATAACAACCTTTTGGCATTAGCTCCTCAGGCACTGTACTAGTAACAAGGGTTCAGTTTGACTGGACTCCATTAATAACCACCTTTTGATTTTTTTCCATTCAGCAAACCTGCAATTATTTAACTAATCTTTTCTCAAGACTAGCGGTATGATCTTCCTTTGTGTGAGAACTTATCAAAAGTTTTTTGAAAATCGAAGTTCACGAATTCCACACAATTTCCATCGTTCAGTTAACACATAATATTCTTGAAAGAAGATAACGGATTATTCGCTGGCGAATTCATTATGGCTTTCTTTTATGATACGTTACAGTAAATGAGTTTGTAAAGTTTCTTTTATCAAACTATAGAATTTTTCCCACTTTAGAAGTAAGACTAATTGACCTACCATTCCTAGGACAGCTCTTATGAACCCTTTGAAAATATGAATACCTTTAGCAACTCTCCAACCCTCAGGTACATGCTCACTGTCTATTGACCTACTAAAAATGAAGGAATAAAATTGGCATATCTGATCTCTAACATCCTGAGAAAAACCGTCTGGTCCTGGTGCTTTATCTGTTGTTGATATCTTGTTCTTTCTGGTTATCACCAAGGGATTAATATTTACAGAGTTCAGGTTAATTCCAACATTTCTCATAGAATGTTCAGGGTCAGGAAAATTATTAATGTCATCTCTTACAAAAACAGAAGATAAGTAAACGTTTAAAAGTTTACCATCTTATACTCTTCAACAAAAACCTCACCAGGAGCATCCTTAATGGGCCCAACACGTATTTTAAAATTTTGGTTACCTTTAAAATATTAAAGTTTTGCGAGTCATTCAGTTTTCGAGATATTAATGATATGTACGTGTGTTAAGAATGTGTGACAAACCTTTGTTTTTTTTTTTTTTTAGTTCACTGTGAAATAAGGGAGTCCCATTTTTCGCTTCAGAGTTTCAAGAATGTGAGTTAGGAAACACTACTACAGGCCGACTATATTCTTAATGGTTCTTAAGCTTTTTTTCCAAAAATTATTTTCCGGTCCATGGATTGAAAAAAAAGACTCGTAACCTGTGATCTA